AATTATTTAAAATAAAACAAAAAATTACTACCTTTTTTTTTTTTTTCTTTTCCTTAGTTTTGATAATTAATGAGCATTAAAAAAATGAAAAATAAATTAAATTATAAATTAAAGTGCGAGAACAAAATTAAACATAAATAATAATTAATAATAAATTTCAAACTCTGGAAGTTAATCTTTAATACGATTTAAATGTTAGATTTGACTTTGCATATGGGTACAAATATATAGTTAATCAGGTGGAGTATTTGCTTTTCAAATAGAATAAATTCTGGAACTAATTATATTGCTTGGAAAATATAAGTGGCATGAGTGAATAGACTAAACCTAACATGAACTAACTTACAGTGAGCCGAATAAGAACGAACATTAGAAAAAACCTTCAGTTATAAATTCCCCTATATTATAGAATCAATTTGATATTTAATGTATATCTTCAGAACTTCTCTCTGAGCTATATTTGTTTCATCATCTGATGTTCAGGCCTTCAGCCAACAGTAAGCTAGCTGAAGTTTCGTCATCCTCATGGGCTTATATCCTTCTTAATGGGTATAGGTCCATGACCTCAGCACATCGCCAGTGTATTGAAACATATATACCAGGGTGTATTAAATTAAAAAAAAATTTACAAATTAATACTTTTATCATTACAATTACAAATCAAACCAAAACAAACAACTATAACTAGAATTTAGCACGTATTCCATCTCTCCGTGCTGATGCAAACGGATTGGCTGCTGTTCCACACATTAATTTGGTACCTTAAAATACAACGCAAACACACCCAACCGGCACCAGCGATGTTCGGAAATAGTGATGGCTAGTCACTGGAAATACAAGCAGCAAGCAGATGTAAATAACCGTAGCCCTAGTCCGTTACTTATCCCCCTATACTATAACCTATTTTACTACATAAATTAGCTATAGACTCTATAGCGTTGTGAAAGAATCTATTAAAAACCATTAAAGTGTGTCGTCTGTAAGACAGATTTATACTAGTTTCGTATAGAAGACCCATTATTTTTCTAGTGGAATAGATTTTGTTAAAAAATTGACTTCATCACTTCCAAATTGGCCAATGATTTTTTGTGTTGGAAAAAAAATTTTAAATTATTTTCTATGGAGATATGGACCAAATAGGTTTAGAGACATAACATTTTGTATTAATCTTTAAATGTACATTTTGCAAGTACAAAGATATTTGTTTATATTAATCACCAACAAAATATTTTAATATTAATTTTCTTTTGTACGGTTTTATATAAATTTAGTATTTATTTTAAACAAAATATGTTGTTATTTAATCATAAAGTCCATTTACATTTAGTAACAAATTCGATATATTCGATAGTCGATATATTGAGGTTATTAATAAATTGAAATAAAATTTTCGGTTAAATAGAATCAATATATTTTGTTTTAGATATAGATATCAAAAAGATATCTTGTTTTTAATATTATATAGTTTTTTCAAACCTATCAAAATGGGTCCTTCCCCCTTTTTTATACGATTTATTCATCTTTTGGGTGAAAGAATGACTTAGTAAAGTTATTCCATTCAAAAAAGAAATTGTCTGCATAAACACATATCTGTTTAATTATAATATGGGGATATGTATTTGATGTAAAGTATTGCATTAAAAAAATTTAATCTGGAACTGTGTTTGATTATAATTTTAAGTAGAAGTTTTTTTAATTTTATTTGAATGCCTTTTGGATTTTGTATAAATTATTATTAATATCATATTCCTTATTATAACTCGGAATTCAGAAATATTGTTAAAATAATACTTTTCCAAGTTTCCATTGTTTTTTCGCTACTACTAACTATAATTTTTGAATGTTGTCAAGTTGTCGCATCAGATTGCCTTACTGCATATATCCTTACAACATGCAAATTTTTTCTTGATTTTTTTTATTCTACATTTTAGGCAACTTCAGTGACTTCTTTTGTTAACGTCTATGATGACTGACTGGATTTATTATCTTAAAGTATAAGCTATGGCTTTCAGTTTTTTATCTGAATAAACGAAAGGCGCTTTGCATAGCACTCGAGTGCCTTTTGAATATTTATGACTTTAAAGGAACGTTGTGTTACTCAGAGTAGAACTCAGAAGATGAGTGTGGAGAGTGCGGAAAGAAAATAACTGAAAAAGTTGTAATTAAAAAAAAATGAAGATATGGAAAGGAATGGTCAAGATATGCGTTCGCAAAGTTAGCTTATGCATTCATCATAGCCCGTTCAACGTTCAACGTTCAACGTTGCAGGTTGCAATCAAAAATTTTAAATTTATACGAAAAAGGACTAAATTACAAAAGTAAAAACAGAAACAAAAAATGTAATGGAAAAATAAAAGGCCTTAAAAATGTAATAATTTATGAAATCAACTAAAACTTTGAAATTTGTTAGAGTGTAAAAATAAAGAAATATATCAGCATTAAAGCAGCGATAAGACCGAAATAAAAAAAATAAAAAAATTTGGCTGAGCCTTAAGGGAACTTTTCCCATAATTACCATCATCGTCCTCATCACTGACTATATTTGGTGAAGATGCATTATGTTTATTGTGTGTTGCAGTAATTAAATGAAATACGTTTCAGAATGTAATAAAAAACAGATTGAAATTATTTTATAAATTAAAGCTTATAATAAAAATTTAAATAAAATTTTAAATATACCATACCTGTACGTGCGGAGCTCACTTGACTTTCTGGTGCTGTTTCTGTTGCTGTTTCTGTTTCTGGAGCTGTTTCGGTTGTTGCTTCTGTTTTCGTTTCAGCTCCCGTCTCTGCAGTAGTAGTTGTCTCTTTAGTAACTGTAGTTCTTGTTGTTCTTGTTGTTCCTGACGTTCGTACTTCTGTTGCCGTTTCTGTACCAGTTTCTGCTCCAGTTTCTGCTCCAGTTTCTGCTCCAGTTTCTGCTTCCGTCTCTGCTCCAGTTTCTGCTCCGGTTTCTATGCCAGTTTCCACTCCTGTATCTGTTCCGGTTTCAGGATCAACTCCCTCTGGTTCGGTGAAGTCCTCATCTGCACCTCCTTTTTGTCGTTTACCGCCTTTACCTTTTCCACCTCCTTTTCCACCACCTTTTCCACCCTTTTTACCTTTTTTATCTTTCTTCTCTGATTCAGTGGGCGGTGATGGTGGTACTAAAAATAATATTAATTATGAAAACTATGTTATATTCATATATTATTATATATAATTTAATATAATTAGATTAAATATAATAGAAATTAATATATTTGAAATAATTATTTTATTAAGAAAAATAATTAATTAATAATCAACTAAATTAATCATTTAAATATTATAAATTTTAAAGATACGATATATAATACCTTAAGTAATAACTAACTAAATCATATTAAAAAGCAATCATTCATGTTTTATATAAATTACTGTTATATTTGATATATATTATGCTTACAAAAAAATATTAGTCATATAATTATAGGATCGAAATTTAGTGTATCCAAAACATATATAATAGATACGAGATATAATGCACATGAACTTAATTTAAATTTATTTACATATAATTTGATTCAATGTTGGTATAATGACGCATAGATACATTTTAGTAACATAGAAGTTAGAAAAGAAATATAGATGTCAGAATTACTTTTCACTCAGTAGTTATACTCGTCGGTATCACAAATTTACAGCAGATTTAACGCAAAATTATTGAAATTAAGTTTAAATATTGAAATATATATAGGATGAAGTAAGTTCATAACAGAAGAATCGGGTGATGTTGCTATAGAAGTATGGTAGTAATCGAAAGAAGATAAAAATGTGTTAAGTTCTTAAACATAAATTAGATAAAATTTTTTAAATGTATATATGAATGCTTGAGTTTATGAACTATAGTATAACTGCATCATTTTTCTCGATCAATGTAAGAAATAGAAAAAATAATAAAATTAAGAGGGCGCACACACACATGAAAATATTTTTGACCAAATGCTCCATAGTTGCTTATGGATCACTACAAGAATCCAGTAAATAATTTTCTGTTCTTCAGCATTATTTTTTTATTCTATAAAAGGCAAATAGTCAAGTTAATTATATTTAACTCGAATTACTGAAATTTTTAAATACTGTGGAATACCATATTCAGATAAGATAATTTGTATGGCTTAAGTTTTGGGTTAGAGTATTATAGTACTGCTTATTTAGGAAGTACAGAATTTTTTTCAAATTAATTGCGTCTCTATTGAGTCACTAAGTAAGATTTAAGGAGAAAGATTTGTAAATACTTAACGAAAAAAAAATTCCATTTTGGTAGAGAATAACAAAGTGGAAAAATAATAAAGAATATAAATGGATGAAGCAAAGTGATATGGACAGACATGTATAGCTAAATTAACCTATAAAGTAATTTTATACACACATATAAAAAAGCAGGTCTAAAAATAATTTGAGTTGAACTTACTATATTTAAGTAGTATATTTCAATATACACATATAAAGATGATAACTAGTCGATTAAATTCATCTCAAATTACAGAACACAAAAAAGTGGTAGATGATGGATATCTAATGTATATAACTAATTGTAAAAATATGTTAAATAATGGAAAACGGAATTGAGTAGGAAATACCAATTGTAAGTAATTGTGCTCACATAAAAAATTGAAGATTGCCAAAACCTATAGTCATATAAAATTATAATTACCTATTAAATAGCAATAAATTAAATATTGACTTTTATATATTATATTATTGCAAATCAATTATACAATTATACATATATGTCTATATATTTTTGCAAAAGAAATAGTAGATTACCTAGACTTACACAATCATTAAACTTTGTTTAATGATTTAATTTATATATTACTTGTTTGATTAAAAGAATATGAATAATATATACATATATGCTTTCTTAAAGAAAGTCAATGCGTAGAATTAATATTTTATAAATCAAAACAAAGAATTTTTAATCTGTAAAAATTTAAATTAATTATTATGGAGACAAATTAAAGGCAATTCACTATTCCTACTATTCACATATAATTTAACAGTTTTATATTTGTATTTAATATCTACTCATATACACTAAGTCTAACAACAACAATATATATGGAACACATAAGTATGTTTAATTAGTGCTTCATGTTTTTTTAAAATTCTTCACGCTAATAACAATAATATATGTATAAACTACATGAGAACTACTTCGTAATGTAAAGCATAAAAACTTTTACTTACTTTCTTCCAAGACAATAATTTCCTCTTCCACCAGTCTATCATAGAATGTTCGCCATAAATAGACGACAATTTTCTTAACATCAGCATTTTCCTGAAATGGTGAATCCAGAAGTTTATCGAACTCTTCCCGATGTTTTTCAAACAAGGCGTTCACATATTCCGGCTCAAAAATGCCCATTTGGTTAGCCACAAACACTTTAAGCCACAATACACGTGCGTCAACAAAGATATCCATGATGAGTGAGAACTGAGAAGTATATAAGTAATAATGGTAGCATTAAGAGTTTAAAGTTCTATAGCGGTACTTACTTATAAATCTATGTGGTTGAGTTGTAGAAACTCGCCGATATTAAAGTAACTTCCTTAGAAAATTATTAACAGCTGCGTTGCAAAGCAAATTTCTGCACTCTTTATTCTTTGGACTGCTTTCTATATTGAATAGGTTTAGGGTTTTCACTTTATGTTCTCAATTGATCAACGTTTTCTAGTTTGTTCCTCTTCTATATCTTTTTTACTATTTAGCGCTTTAGTTTGGTTAATTGTCTTGTGATTAGTTTGTTATTTGTTGTATTCTGTTTGAGATACAATTTGATTTATTTTTCTTTTTATTCTCTAATAAAAATTTTTTTTTAAAATTTTTCTAAGCAAAGCTGATTTTGAAGTTTCTATTTTATAAAATTACAAACTTGTAAACGTTTCCACTCCTGGCTTAATTTGTTTAGTTATTGTTTTTGTTATTTGTTATATGTTGCTACCATGGTGCCCTCTTTTCTTGTTGCTTAACAAATCACCGGGAAATACGAGTAGAAAATAACCTAAGCAACCAAATTGGTTATTTTATTTGCCATTGAAATTGGCTGTTGCAGATACGGGGAAAGAAGAACCATTTGAAGTTGAGTTTTCCTCTTGAAAATATATAAAATCCTGCATTCTTTTCCGTAGCATTATAAGAGAATAATGCCAATTGTTGGCTGCGTACAAATACTTCAGATTCTAAAAATTACAAAAACAATTGCAGACATTTTTATGTTAAGCATTTGGGAGGAATCGTAACATAAAGTGTTTGTTAGCTCTTTTAATGTTAAGGCAAGCAAGGAAACATCATGTACTACGCGTATTTTAAAGTTAATGTATCTACAGCAGCGTCAAGCAGCAAGGAGCAGCAGTGAAGCAGTGAAATGCAACCACAACAAAAACAATTTAAATAGCGCTTTTAACCATCTAAGTGTGGAGTAGAAGTGTGGGCGCATCATGGGCGTGGCAGTCATGCTGTTGATGGGAATTGATATGTGTCATAGCTGGAAGTTTTGAGACGCACAAATGATGACAGCGTAAGAATGACATTTTATTGTTTTTATGTGTGGTACGTTGTGGTACGATTTCTTGGATTCATCATTGCGCCATTTGTACTGACAGCAAGAATGCCACAAATTGTTGATGTCGATATGAGTGGAAAATCACACACAACAGGAACTTATTAATAAAATATATACAAAAATTGAATAAATTTTGCAACATATGCAAAATTTGCAAGCAAGCAGTATTAAGACATTTCAAAGTGTAAAGTTGAGTAGCGCGATGTATCATGGTAAAGAGTTCTATTAGATATATGCTGTTTTTAAGTTTAGAAACTACTTTGCAATTCAAATATTTCTCAACTCTTGTAGTTTAGCTTAAATTATGCTAAAACAAAAGAGTTCTAAAAAGAATGCATAGAGAAAATTATGATATCAGAGATTAAAAATGATTTAAGATAATATTGTGCAATTGTGCAATCAAACTTAATTTAAAAAAAAAATACTATAAAATTAAACAATGTCTGATAACTTTGCATAAATATTCCTTTTATTCCTGTTATAAAATAACAGGGGACTGCCTGCACACCAACTGTGCATGTTAATGTTAAGTTCAATGCAGTGCAATGTCTATTACTAATTATGTTAACAGAACAGCAACAAAGAGATAGAAATAAATAAATCTATATTTCTAACAGTAGGACAAAAACATATTTCTATGTTTTTGATCTCTACATCAAGTATTAAAAACATAGAAATTCTTATGTCTTTGGCAAGAATTTTAAAATTTAAACTTAAATATTAATATCAATGAAAAGAATTGTTGTAATTTACAGAACTGTTTTTTGACTTCCGCAAAAATTTTACATTACAGTAATTGATTAATTATTACTGTATTGTAAGTTTATTTATAATATAAATAAGTCAGTTTTAATAAATTCGTCTGTTAGATTCAGGAAATTTGTTAAACGTAGAAATAAATTCTTAAAAAATGTAGAGTTTTAAAATTAATTATTCAGAGTTAAAAGAAGATCGCATCAAATCGCTGTACACATTGAAGGGCCGCAGAAACAAATGCAATCGTTCATAGTTGTTTTCGACAAAAATAAAAATACGATTATAATTTTAAATTTATTTTTATTAATTTAAATAAATTAATTTGGTGTACCATAAAAATAAAATAATGTAGTTTTAGCAGAACACCAAAAAAAAAAATTTGCGTAATTATGGTAGATTAAAAACATGTCGTGGGCGGCACAAACATTAGCCGCAGGCCATACTGCAGACAGCTCTGATCTAAAGCAATATACGTTTGGTTTATCATTTTACAATATAATTCATTTAGCAAAATATTGCAAAAAGCTGATTGAATACTAGAACAACAGCGTTTGTGTAATGATTTCCCGCAATTAAGTACTTGCAGTGATGAACCTTTATTTTCACTCAATGATACGTTAAAAAAAAAATTGTCACATCTATGACAGCAACAATCCACATATAACTGTCAAGAGACCACGGCATCTGAAAATATCACTGTTTGGGGTGGCATTTCGTATGAACTCGTGATAAGATGAACTTTTTAAAAACGATGAACATACGACACACACTGTCAACTTCAGTCGCTACAAAAGATACGAGTAGAGAAAATATTTAGTTACAAAAGAATAGTGCATTGAATAAAGTCATTGATTTGCGAATAATGCCAAGTTTCTAACAATTATTTGTGTATATAACATATATATAAATATATATATGAATATAGTGTATATAAATACATACAATATGTACCTTGTAGACATCTTATGGTAAATATATCTCACGATGAAACAATCTACACATAAGTTTAAGTTTTATGATTTGCTCTCCAATTAAGTTTTGTTTAAGACGTTAATTGATATATTTGTTGGAACATTCTGTACTAAAAACATGTACCAATCCTGGTTAGGTTAGATTCGGAAGGCGCTTGCACAGTTGTCAGCACTTCTATTCGGAGGCATATATTGCCCATTGTGATGCCTTCAAAAATTTTGCCGGGAGAGACGAGTTGCTGACATTTGTAATCTTTGCTAAACTATCCGGTTTTCCAGATAAAGTTGAAGAGATCCGATAAGTTTGCTTTCGTTATCTCTCCCAAGCCAGTCAAAAAGCGATCTCCAAGACATTGAAGTCGCCTTGTCTGTACATCTGGACACAGGAAGTGGTTGATAAATTCTACCTCCCTTTCATCTTGGCAACTCCTGTATAATCCACTTGTTGGAACTTGCCACCGTTGTATCATAGGCGCAATAGCACAATGCCTCATTAGTACTCCAATAAGCACGCAAATTGCAGGTTTGCTGCAGCCTAAAAGTCTTTTCGTTTTATTTTTGTCTAACGTAGGCCATAAGATTCTAGCGACCTAACAATCTTCGAGATTAGTCCATAAATTGTTTGTCACCATGTTGGTGATTTCCTCTATTATCCTAAACAATTCACATATTGGTCTATTTATTGTGTGGTCGGCCTTTCCTGTTCAGTTCAGAACCTCTTCTGGCCATCTCATCTGCTAGTTCATTTCCTTCAATATTGCTAAATCCGAGAACTCAGCAAAGAGAGACTTTGTGATGTTTGATGCTCATCAGTGAGGCGCGACATTTCAATACAATCTTGGATTTAACCGTTTTGGATTTATTTGCTTTCAGTGCGATCTACAAAAATCGTGATATTCGAAGGGCGAATTGTACTTTGTTGTATATGCTTGGCCGTCGATAGCATATATCTCGGCCTGAAAGACGCTGCAAGTATCAGGGAGTCGGTAGGACTGCCTTATCTGCATATCTTTCGAGAAGATGCCTGCTCCTGTACCGCCCTCCATCTTTGAGCTCACTAATCATTGACAAGTATGTGCCTGAGATTAAGACTGCAACGTCATCGGCGTAGGCAACAACCTTTGTTCTCTGAAGGTTTATGTACCAATCATACTAACTTACTGTTATAACTTTTGCAAATATTACACACCTGAAACTTAATTTAAAAAAACTTTATTTTATTGCAGGATATAGCCATAAGTAGGTCACTTTAATTTCAAAATACAAAATATTAGCAAAAACTAGAAGAGTAGTCAAATACCTTAAATAAATTGCAATCAATGATTATTTAAGTAAAATATTTTGTTTTAAAAAATATTCTTTAACACTTGTTACTACGAATTTCAGATGAGACGTGTTTCCTTCTTTTAGTACTCCCTTAATTAATCTCTATTATTGACCAGAAACTACTGCAACCTGAAAAGATCTATTGAACATAACAATGTCTACCTAATACTTATACGGGTAGTGGTCTATGTGTGGCAATTTTTGTCATACTCTCACAATCTTATAAGTACTGTTTTAGTTATTTTTGATACGAGTATCTGTTGATTTTACTACACTTTATCTGTCTTCTCAGACTATCAGCTACTTATATCTTATATGTTTCTTACTGTTTAGCTGATGACATTTTTGATATTATTCTTTTTTTGTCAATAACGCAATTGTTTTGAATGATGCAATGAATATTCGTTATGGACTAACAAATTTAGATAATACCTTAAAGATATAAGTTCTGTACAAGTTTTAGAGAAAAGTTATATCCTGCTTTAGTAAATAAATTAAACAGTAAGAAAGTTTTGATAAGTATAACAAAATAGACAAATTGTTACTGGAGTTTACCAAAATTTATGGTTCCAAGAACGGCCAGTTTAACGTCCCTGACCCACTCATCGATATCAACGGCCAAGTGTCGTTCAACACCTCTAAAAGGGACTACACAAGAAGGTCCGAGTGGTCTACAAAAGCAACAACCAGAATTTATTATCAATAAGAAACGACGGAAATATTTGTTGGAATGAAACTTCATTCAGAATATATCCGTATTATTGGTTTGGTATAGAATTATTTGTCTTAAATTTGAGATTGTTTTGTTTAGTTTTGTTTTATTTTAATTAGCATTATTACCAGAAAGATATTCTATCAAAATTAAATAAACACTTATTATTTATGAATTTATTCTACACTTCACCTTGCAGTGGTTGCCTTATTCTAGCAAAATTACTGACAGGATATCTCGAATCGCAGATACTTGATTATATAAAAGCTTTCCATGTTATTTATATGAAGTATGTATACAGTGTGTGTGTACAGATGTGATGTGTTTTTATATATACCTACGTATTTATTGTATACCTGGTGTCGATATAAAACATTCAATAGCATTATGTGTTTATATTAATATGTTATTCTATTGGTTCATTCAGCACACAAAGTAACGTTTGTATGGAATAGTGATGAATCCATTTAATTGTTTATTCCGTTTCATCAAACAAATCTAAATAAAAGGAAAATGCGAAAATGCGAAAATGCCTCAGCCGTAAATGTTCATTTGTGCACCAATTAAACTGTAATCAAAGCAAACTAAGGTGCAAATGAAAACATCAAATAACCTGAACCAGGAAGCGAGCGGCATTAATGCCACCACAAAAGTATCCTAGCTCGCAAACATGAATTGACGTGAACATGCATGTGGATACTTGCATGCTGAGAAATGTATTCAATTTATTTAGAAAGCAATTTCAATAAAGTTAATTTCAGTTTTCACATTCAGACGACGATAACATTCACGAAACGAACAGAAGCGACATTGCACAGCGAACATTCGACATTTGTTTCAATTAGCAATAAGGACGAGCACTCGCGCACATCCGGGGTACTGCGAAGGATATGTTTCAGACTATAAAGAAGATAGAGAAGATATTTGTGCGTCAGAAGTTTTTGTTTGCTGAAATGTTAGCTGAAATATTTGTTTTTATCTCTAGAACAATATGTCTAATGTTGCAAATTGACACAAAATGAAAATACGAGTAATGAAAAGTATCTAATTTTCATTTTTGCTCACTTATAAATTTCGATTACGTTTATTGTTTTATTTAGATTCAGTGAGGCGGAAGGAAAAGTTGTACAAAGCAATTATGTACCCGCCGGGTATGCAAATACCTGTGAATTTGAGAACACATGCAAATTGATAACTTTGAGTTACAAAGCTGATTGATTACCTTCCTTCTGTCACCGGTGCCTCAGGAATTTTCGAGTGCGCTCCGGAAGCAATGATGCATGTGCGACATTTAATAAAATTGCATGCGTGAATGAGTGCAACATTGCAATCAAATTGCCAGGAGTATATCGATAAGAAATTTATTGTCTCCAACATTGATGAGAACATATTATATAAATAAATAAATTTTTACAGCATTTTTAGTTAATGTAAAATTATAATCCCATTATGCCATACATTATTTATTGGAGTTTAAATTATATCATAATTATTTCTTAATAAGACTTAACTACTATTCTTAACTTAGATCATTGTATTCACTACAAAAGTCCAATTTTTAACTATACTTTCTCTGTACCTATAGCATTTGTATTTATGAGAAAGTAAACATTTCCTTATACCATATAATATTTAATATAGTTAAAGAAATATTTCATTTATTTTTCATATTTTTATATAATATAATAGCGGGTAAAATATAAATAATAATAATATATAAATAATAATAATATATTTCTTTTTTTAACTAAAATATGTAAATTGTAAGAATCAAGTTTTTGTATTTATTTTCGATACAAAATAGTTGAAGGAGTAAAGAATTTCTTAAATAAGCTAAATGATCATAATAAAGAATATTTTATAATAAATAAAAGAATACGCTTAAATCTATGGTTATTATGGTTATAGCTTTTAGTACTCTTCCATGAACTTATACTAGAAAATATTTTTTGTTAGCAGTGTTTTCAAGTCATAATATATGTTGTGTAAATTGTCAGGAGAGGAAGTGCAAATCTAAACTCTAACTC